TGAAATACCTAACCGTACCAGATGTAAATGTGTGAAGGAATAAAGAAATGATTTTCGTTGTACGCTTTCTAATCGTTAACAAAATATGCAAAATCCGACTATTGATTAAAATTTGCTGCTATGATAGGATTTCATTCAGACTCATCGTAGAGTCGTTAGTCTACTTTAGTCACACAGTCGAATGCATGATAAAACAAAAACAACATGAAACATGAAACTACTATAAACTGCTCTAATGCAATTTTTGACTGCAATACCTTGAAGATGTCGTTAAACGTAACATGAAACTACTTTATGTCAATCAAACTTTTTTGACCAAAGCTCCTCATGTAACAAAAGTAAACTAATATAACCGTATAAAAATTAAAAAAAATAGTAATACATCATATAATCAAATATCATAATATTGAAAGAACTATTTTTAAAAAAATGCTTTCCCGCGCCATCCTTTGTACGTCATAGTCTGAAATTTGAAGATGCTGAGAGGCTTCAAAACCATGCAGGATTTCTCGTTAGCACACATACCGGGTTCAAGTGATAATAGGTAGCTTCTGGTTGCTTATATGTATGTGTTCTTATCGAACCAGCTACGGTACTCCCTTGTTGTAAGCACAACATCTGGTCATCGTATCATCGTTATGTTTTGCTCTTTTGTTGGATCTTCTTTCCGAGTATGTACCATCATTTCTCGATAAAGCTTCCTTTCTATTGGTACAACCACGCTTTTGCTGGCATGGCTTTTTCCCTGTATTTTTCAGCGCAGAACTAGAAGCAGCCGCTGCCCACATGCAGCCCAAACAAGGTTCCTGTGTATTGTTTATAAGGGAATGTATGGGAGTTATGATTAAGGTCAAATAAATAATGTTTTATATTTAGGTAGAGAAGAGCGGATTTTGAAAAAACGCACTAAACGGCCTCAAATCGCGCTGAAACTTCGCCAGAAGACTGAACAAAGTAAAAGCAACGACTGCAACAAGTTTTGAAGCAAATTGTTGAGTCAAACATTTTATTTTCGTAACTTTATCATAACTCCCATACATTCCCTTATAAACCATACACAGGAACAAAACAGTTCAAAAAAGTATCAAATGATTAAACAATTGAACACACTATGATTATGGTTATGTATACAAATAAGACAAAACTGTTTGGACAGTAAATGATTTTAGAGTTACGTACGTCGTGTAACTTGGAACGTGTAAGTGTATTCATCATTATTGTCAGTATTTTTACTATATTTAAGTTTTGTCTCACTCGGTTTCGTTGTTTTAATAGGTTGTTCGAGTATTTTTTCTACAGTTATTTTTGATATTTTTTTCTGGWCTGCAGTCTGTGTTTGTCGCACACCGATGGCCAAAGACTTTTCTAATGTAAGCAATCGTTTAACCTAAACGCTTTACTGTCAATGCATCAAAAGAGATTATTTACTTTTTAGCTAATTCGTATTTTTGTAAAGTCTCAATTTTCTTAACTTTGTGAAGAATAAACAATACCTTTTTCATGAAGTCGTAGTCGTGTTTCAAATCTYATTGTCTTATTTTTCTACCATATATCAGTGAAAAAGTTAACTAACAAAATTGTACAAATTAGTGTAATRTTTTGTAGGTCTACGRTCTACTGAGAACTTACTAATTTGTGCAAATTTGTGCAATTTCYTACAAAGTTTTTCCCGGATGTATGGAGATAGGTCTACTGTAAAGCAAACGTACTTATTTGAGTTACCAATGTATCTGAGCGGGTTCATTTGCGGAACCTATGCATGGTGGATTATAAACCACATAGATCAGGTCTATGCTCATTTCGAAKGGTTTAAAAAAACTTGGATAAACGGTGAACTTTTTGACCAAAGCAATGCAAACTTCAAAATTGGTTTTAGGTTTCACACGCCTTCACCAAATATGCATTACATTCGCTTAGCAAAACACGAATTTTCGCTATATCACATGCAATTTCCGCGTGCTCATTCCCGTCGTTCAAACGCGGAACTAATTCCTATGATAATCTATTTCGGTGATTGAATCACTACTAGAAAAAAGTTAAGGAAAATTCAATCATTGTGACCTTTCACTGTTTGCATTTACATTGTCCATAGTCAGCTCAGTCATCCAAAGCGGAAAACACCGCTGAGAGAATCCCTCCCAGATGGTCATACAACTTCCCGTATTCCACTTTCACTTTGCTTTGCTACCTTGAAATCATGTATTTGTTATATTGCAAATGAGTCGTATATCGCCTGACGAACTAAACTCCCTGAATTTCAGAGGCCAAGATTTTCTTTTCAAGCGTTTAAGCGTAAAAATAAAAACAAGCGTTTAAAAAAACAACTGCAAAGGAATTAAATTGGTTAGGAGTGTCATGGTCAAATAGACTCCTTACCTGAGCTCCAAGCATCTTTCCATCAACTTTATCAAGAGCAGATATGGAAGCTTGGATTCTTGGTGTAACACCTCTTCTCAGTTTAGATGAAGCCATGGTTCTGGTAGATATTTTCAGTAGTTTAGCAGATAACGCGTACAAATCAAAKCGAAAGCGAATTCGAAGCTTAACTACCGAGGTACTGTAAATAGACAATGCCATTAGACAGGAAATTGAAATATAAAGCCGTCTACAGAGTAAATTTAAAAATAGAATGTCAATAAACTGCAATTGATCAATCAGGAGGCGAAGTGAAAACTGTAGCCAATCAGCCGCGTGGTTTCTGCATGGAAAGACACTGTTATTTATGTAAAACTGTAGCAAATCAGAAGCTAGAGAGCAGAATCAGTAGCACGTGGTTTCTGAGTGGAAAGACAGGCAGTATAGACAACCCTTACCAAGCGAACCAATAATATCACTTCAATTTACTTAAAGGGYTAGGGTCAGGGATGCATGAGAAGTGAAAACAGTATAGCCAATCAGCAGAGAGCAGAATCAGTAAGTGTTGAGTAGCACTCTAACAATGCTTTTTTCAAAGGAAGTCTTGTTTAGAAAACTAGTGAGATCTTTATATCGATCCCCTGAAACATGCCTCTGGGCTAATCAAATAGTCACAACTATAACACGATTATTATAATATAGCTAAGTTAAACCGCGCGCTCTGATTGGCTAATTTATCATGAACTATTTCCCCATACGCCCATAGGTAGCACGCTGACGTCAGTATTTTTCTCTTTTTTCTCTCAATGCACGAAAAAATCAAAGCTTTTCTCTTTTTTGGGCGATAATCATAAAGAAAGTTTACAAATTATACTGAAGGAATGGCCGAAAACACATGTACACCTCTACGAAGTGCTGAGCAATCACCAACATTCAGCGTGGATTTTCATGCAATTGCCTAGTAGCTCTAACGAGATGCAAACAAACTTTYGTCTAGTCAAGGATTAGACAGAATTGTTTCTGAAAGGCACGAAAGTTACGAACATATTAATGCAATAAAAACAACAAAATCGCAACAAATCTACGTAACCGGAAAGCCATTTAACTGAGGTAAACATCACTGAGGTAAACATCGCTGAGGTAGCGACAAATTTTTCAAGTTTTTAAGATATGAATATGAAATTCAAGTCAGTGAAATTCAAACCTTATGAGTTTCTGTCCATACTTATTTAGGGAATGACAAGTGGTCTGAGTGGGAAAACATTACGCCCAAGGTATATACTATGATACACATTCCGTTAAGTTTTACTAAACRCATCCCACATGGAAAGGAGTGTTGTATTTTYGATTCTTTTCTTTATCTTTGTTTCCTTGAATAAACTAAGCAGCATTCGACTAAGCTGTGTTGTATTTTCGATTCTTTTCTTTACATGTTAACACAAACTATCCGTCTCGACTTTCTATTCTTCCCGCTCTTTCTCTCTCTCGATTTACACGTGCGAATATGCAAATTAAGTTCATAGTCTGTTACGTCATGATCTCGCACAAGGAGTGAGTATGCGTTCAAAGCCTTWGTTCCACAATCAAAATTTTGAGTATGCTGGTCATAGCAAGTGGTTAATCATCTACGGTCTAGGGACCGACGAACCTCTCCCTTAGTCTTCGGCCGAACTTCCTAATCAGTCTGTAAATCTTCGGATAGCGGTGTCGGGGTCGAAATCTCCGGCGTAGCCGTAAGTGCTTCGCGCTGCCATACGACGGTTCATCACTCGATGTCTGAAAGTATGGTCCTGATTTAATCAATCAAAAACTAAAAATCCTAAAAACATGTTTCCGTAACGGACTAGCTTTGAAATAGATCAAATTTACTGTGATGTGCGTTTTGTTTAGTTTTCCAAAACACCTCCTACCTGGAAAAAAAAAAAAAAAAAAATGCGGATATATAACACTTTTCTTTTTATAATTATAGATTTGTAGGCCACCAAAAGATCATCTTTTTATACCAGGTTTTATAATGTCCAATTGATCGGGGTTTTTTTCCAGGATAAATATCGATGTTATAATAATRATAATTATTATTATAAAAGGTTGCTTTGCTTTCTGTTTACATTCAATTCAAAAAACGTTGTCGTCAACCGAACTCCACCCTACAGCTACTAATTTTATCACTGATTACTTTTGCGGCCTCGGGCTTATAGAAAGGACCCTTCGCGCTAAAAGCGGTCGGTTAAAGGAGAAGCGTGCGGGGAAATGCATCTTTGTTCAGTTTTTTACTCKTTTGTATGCGTTTGTTAATTTTTGAGGACATTTATAGTATTTTTAATCCTTCTTAATCTTATCTAAATTGGGCTACCTGTGGTTAAACTTGGAACGCCTTGAGCTGTTTCGAGAGAGGTTGTAGTCATTGATAAATTTAATTACACCTTTAAAATGAATCCTACATTTCCTTAACATTACTTAACTTTCGTTTCTTTTGGAGCAACATTTTTGAAAATAAAATAAGGGAATAAGTTGAATTGAAAATAAATGAGCCCACAGTTAAATGGYTAGCGGTATTATTCCTTTATCTATATTACTAGTCACGAAAACAGGTTGCATAGCATGATGGGTAGTTGATCACACGAGGAAAAGAAGATCCCTAAACAATTCAAAAATGGTATGTTTTTCCTTATTATTTGAACCTTTTTGTGTCTTTTAACCCGATAGATAACTGAATGAGTTGTTAACCGAGCTGTTTTTTTAAGGCTTCAGGGAATTTTCCTTCGTCGACAGCTCCAATGACGGGCTTTCCTCAACAACAACAACAACAACAACAGCAAACTATGCAGACTTTTGCAGTAAGTTTTTACGTTCGTTGAACGAATTCTCTTTACAAAAACATCATTGTTCCTCCTCATCCATCTCCTTTCTCAAGATATCATACTAGATTAAATTTAGTTTGGGATTTTATATCGTTATTGCAACAGACTGGATGTCTGTTATAGCATAATTGAATTAGAATAAATATTACCTGTCAATTGTTTAGTATTTGTCAAGTTGCGTGTAAGTGTTTGTGGCTCACAGTACTAGTATAGGTATTACAGTTCAGATAAGCCAGTGAATATTAACCACATGTTATTGATTAATTACACTTATTTTCAATGAAGTCTAGAATCTTACACTTTAGTGCCATAACTTCTCATAGAATTTAATCAAAACATTTCTTCTCCTTTACTCCGACAAAGGACTAGCRCCCGTAACAACAGTAAGTTTTTTGATCTTTTCAYGGTGTATAATTTACCTTTTTATCATTATTGTTACATTAGAAACACCGATGCAGCTCACACTAGTTCTTAGCTAGTTATCTCTTCTCAAAATATTTCTATGTCATTCTGGAGTGTGTTTAACAATTTAATAGATCCAAAGCTCAAATGGTCTTTGAGTCAATTCTTCATTTGCACAAGATGTCATAGCCATTATCTTGGATGAATTTAACGAAAGAATTGTCAATAAATTCGTTATATCATCCGACATGGCCGCCATGTCTTTTGTTATATTTCACTCCCCTGGAAATGATTAAAATCAGCAATAGTCAGCTGAATGGGCTAATGACTCATAGACCATGAGGATAAGAGGTCTATTTTTTCTGCCTAAACCTACTAGTTGATCAAATACATGGATAATAATTTTTTTACCATAGTTAATGGAGCGGAATGGTTGGGAAACCTATTGTTCTATGTTTTTGTTCGACTTTATCCATTGTTATACGACGTTGACGGTGCATAGAGAAAGAAACGTTGCTAAGTTTGTTCATAGTATTTGGGAATATAGAAGTTTTTAACCCTAAAAAATGTTCTAAAATACTTTATTATTTGTTAATTAATCCTATATGATTAATACTAATTGTTTATTGAAAAGGAAATTGCCTTTTTTCGTGCTTTCTTATTTATCATCTAGTAACTTAACTGTATCTGCACAAAAATATTTATCCGCATAGTTTGTGGTTATTGAATGAAAGTTTTCAATTTCARAATGTTCATACATGAAAATAATAAGGAAATGAGTATTTTCAGCCATACTTGCTTTGGTTCATTGTGCACGGTCAGTATCACATGATGGCACGGTTCAACATCAAACGTAAAACAATAGCTTTGTTCTATGGAGTTTCCAAACCATTCCAAGATAGTCGACATCACTTAACTCACTTAACACATTAACTATGTTTTTACAAAATGTCAGTTAGTGGCCATTGTTAGCAGTTTTTTGCTACTTGTGGTCTATCACTAATAAACCATTAGTAGATCAGCCAATCAGGGTGCAAGTCGTTGTGGTAAGATATTTGTGACTTGTCATTCCAGCTATACTTGGGTCTTGAAATTCTGTWTTTGCTATATCGCTTATCGCTTATTTTGCCMCTTTGTCAATAAGCCTTTTCATAGTTTAAGAATCGACTCCACTGCGCATGCAATTTTATCCCGAATTTCTCACCTTCTTTTGTCTAAACCTTCTTTTGTTCTTAATTAAATAAAAGGAGGTGAGAAATTCAGGATAAAATTGCATGCGCAGTGGAATCGATTCTTAAACTATGAAAAGGCTTATTAAGAGTATTTTCTCAAGTATTAATATGGAAARCAAAAAATGTTGAATTGGAATCAATTTGAAAAAGGAAAACATTTTATATACTCATTTTTAAATAAAGTTAGTCATCTGAAAAGCTGCAGTTTGTATCAAGAAGCTTTACTTGTTTTCAAGATATTCCCATCATCATTTTTGGCCTCAGATTTGTAGGTTTTTGGTACCTAACTTTATTAAAATAAGCATAATCAAAGTAAAAGGGTTTGTTACTTCATTYGCAGCCAATGCCAGTTCCTGGAATGCCAATGCAAGGTGGTTACCCAGGTATGCCAGGGTACCCGCAAGTTGGTACACACCCCATGGYATATCCTGGCATGATACCATCATATCCTGGTCAAATGATGCCACAACAGATGCAACATTTACAAGCCATGCCTGGAACATACCAAGTAACAACCACAGCAGCACCAACAATGATGAGTAAGTTAGATTTAACAGATCAAAAACAGTTTTCTGTGTTTGATGCTCTGATCAAAACACGCAGGATGTTGAAAGAACAYGAGAGGAGCTTAGGAAACCATGACGTGTAGCAGAGTGGTTTCCAGCTTCTSGAGTGTTCTCCCAACATCCCAAGGTTTTTGATCAGAGTATCAAACACAGAAAACTGTTTTTGTTTTGTTTTATAAAATAACGAACGCGTGAAAAGATAAAAAAAAGCAAAGTATAAGTAAATTCTCCCTACGTTCTGTTTTATTCAAACTGACCAATGAGCGGGTGCGATAGACTAAAATCTGACAGTTGCAATACTTGCGCACGCTAAGATGACGATAGTGGGTTTTGATACTCTCAACCAATCATAACATGCGTAGTATCCCAATTATTTTATAAAATAATATAGACAGTGTTTGATTGGATAGAGAGTTAATTCTCATGCAACGGTTTTGTCTGGCATGTGCCTTGCTATTTCATSGGCATGTTCTTGCCCTGAGTGTTCCACAGTCATATGAAAACTGCTTAATACACTCAGTTGAAAAATCATTGTCAGGTTCAAAACATAKAACATAGGAGCTGAGACCTAAAGGCATTCTTTGAAATTATATAATTATCCATTCCATTGCGTCATTGCGACCACTGCGTCACTAGATACATCTAATTAACATTATTCCCTTGTACCATTCTAGCCTCAACTTTTACTGTTTTTGAAACCTGACAATAATTTTGCAATTTAATGTATAATCACCATGGGCAGTAATGAGTACAAAAATTCAAGAGATTGACTGTTGTGACCCATGGGTTCCAAGCATTACAGTTGCATGCCRTCAAAATGGAGCCAAAATGTCTGCATACTAAAGACTACACATGAAATGTTTGGAATTTATCACTGAAGATRTGTGGGGCAATGATATAAAAGTATGCAGTAATAAGAAGACTATGTACTTATTGACTGAGTGGGAGGGCCGTACGAGAAAATATTTGGCTCGAGATGATGCCGTATGGACCTTGCGCYGTACAAATGACCTAGAGCCAAATATTTTCCCATTCRGCCAGAACTATTTCAGTCAATAAGCATTTTATCATATGACCCTAAATAAAAAAGATATTTTAAAACTTGCAAATTATGTCAATATGGTCACAGGTTTTGAGCTTGGCCGTACGGATTCATACGGTATTGCTCGTTCAAAGCCGTACAGCCCTGCTCACCCCATTTTCCTGAAGGTTTTTTTAAGATTGTGCACCCGGGCAGATATGGGTCATATGATAAATGGGCTTATTCCACAGTTTGAAGATTTTGGTTTTATCAAAAGACTAATATCGTAATATCAATACCTCATGATAATAATCATAGTCAGTGCTAAAGGTCCTTATTGTTCTGTAGTTCCACAGTCTGTTATCCCAGCAGCAGTAAATGCAAACACCAGAAACACTCAAGCAGTTCAAAGCCCACAGCCAACACCAAATGCAAGTCAAGCTAAAGCCCCTGCAGCAGACGAGAGTACYGAGAAAAGGGAAGCTAATATGGAAGAAGAAAAGAAAGAAAAAGTAAAAAAACCCAAGGCTACAAAAGTAAGAATTTGTTTGTGATACTGATTTCTGAAACCATTTTTTTTTCGTTCAGTATATCGATTTATTTTATTTTATCAATTTTTATTTAAATACATTTAAATTTTGTACTCAGTTTTTTGTTATGGTCTGAAAGTAAGTGAACTTTGTTTTTGTTATGAATATTACTAGAAAAAGACACCATGGACAGAGCACACTGCACCTGATGGACGGACATATTTTTATAATAATGATACCAAAGTGTCKACTTGGCAAAAACCTTCAGAACTGAAAACACATTCAGAGGTAAATAATATTATTTTTTCAAATAGAAATACTAGAATATTTTACTTTATTGACCTTATTCTTGAGGAAAGAGCACATTCATGGTGATTGAGGGTTACTGTGATTTAGGTAGTACMCACACCCCTAAGGCCTCAGGTTCAATCCCTGGACTAGCATCATATATGTAACATATATATTTTGTAAAATATGTTAGGTSTCTTGCTTGATTGAAGGGTTTTTCTCTCACAAGATCCTCCATTGTCTCTCACTCTTCAAAACCAATTTGAAAAGACTCAATATAAATACCAATTGTATTCTAACATCAGATGTTAGCCATGCCCAGAATTAGATTATCCTAGAGGTCATTTCGGGGGGTCATTGAATTTAAAGTTTGAAGTCATAAGAAATTTATTATTATATGGACGGCAAGGCAATGATTTGACAGGGCAAGTCCCAGTTCTGGCCGGACATTGTCCAATATCTGGCCATTATTTTAAACCTTAATTTCAGAGTGCATCTCTACACTGAGAATAGGTTTCTTTAAGTTACATACAACTTATCTTTTGTACAGCAAGAAATAATGCTCAAGGGAATGGGACATGAGCTCCTAAACACCAAATCAAAACATGACTAACCAATTTGAGTAACTATTGCTCTGGACTGACAAGTGAATGACTAGCCTCCCATACCTGTGAAAATGCTTTTATGTTTACACGTGATCACATAGCTAACGATTAATATCCTCACGAATACCCTACATTATTCCTGCACTGCATTACCAGCGTGGTTGGTCCTTGTAGTGTAGTGGTTAACACATCGGACTAGAATACCAAAGACGTGGGTTTGATTCCCGCCAAGGGCATTTGATATTTTTCTCTTATTCTCTCTACTCTCTAATCTAATCAGTCCAGAACTAAGATTGGTCACCACTTTGTTTTAGTGTATATCTGATAAACTGAATGTAATCAAGMTTTAATCTTTAACAATAATCTTTGGTAATTTGTCATTATTATTAATATTTTTTCAGTTATTGATTGATTCTTGTCCTTGGAAAGAGCACAAGTCAGACACAGGTCGTGTGTATTTTCATAACATTGAAACTAAAGAATCTACTTGGACAGTTCCCAAGGAATTACAAGACCTCAAAGGTATTGAGTTTWTTCAAGAAATAAAACTGCAGCATTTTTCTTGCTCTGTTCATTATGTAAGTGAGACTTAAAATCACTTTTATTTAAGTGTCTAGTCATTCCAGCGCTAATTTCGCACCAATTGGGGACACTTTTCGCTCACCCGTATTACCACTTCATTCAATATTCTATGCACACAATGCTAAACTCAAATGTTGATTTTAACAGAGAACCCGGAGAAAACCCTCATAGCATAGGAGAGAACAACACATCAAACAAACTCATTCATTCAAACAAATTCACTTATGACTTAAGCGCAATTCACATGAGGACTTGAACCATCGACCAGACCCGCTGGACTCACAGCGGTGAAAGACGACGCGTTGGCCGCGAACACTACCAATTGTCATTATATGAACAGAGTTTGTTAAGTCTCTCCCTTGATTTTAGGTTTTTCTGTGGGTTTGCTGGCTTTCCTCAAACTTGATTGCATATATTATTGATAATGTTTAACTTAATGTATATTTTTATTTTATATTTTCTTAGAAATGGTAAAGAAAGAGTTGGAGGCTGAAGAGTAAGTATTGCTATTCATTTGGCATTAGTATGTATAATATATATAAAAACAACAAATCTTTATCAGTATATTATAACATCTTTATTAAGACAGTATGAGTAGATAATTGCAGGAAAAGAGCATAGGCCACCTAGAAATAGCAGAGCTAATTAAGCTAAGTAGCTAAATATAGATTAAATTATACAATGATTCTTTTCATGCCATGTGAGGGATGTGATTGTCAAACTGCTTTTGTGCTGGCCGATGGCAACACGGGCAACTGTCGACCAACAGTCGGGCGATAGTCGACCGACACATGTCGGCTGGTCATGAAATACAGGATTACCTAAAATGCCTATGGTTTCAAGAAAATCCATATGTTTTTCAGCCCTGTCTGTCATATTAATATTCTTGATTAGGTAACCTGTGTTTATATGTCAAAGGCAAGCCAGTTATTCAAAAGTATTAATTTGTAGAGTTGTGTGATRTGATTGTTGTGTTTGTCGTTCAATGTTTAGTCAAGAGGATTCATCTGAAGAGGAAGAGGAAAAACCGGCTGGAGCTACAGAAAACGTACCAGATACAGTGAAGCAAGAAAGTGCAGTATCCAGGTATCTAAATACATATAAATGCTGATTATTTTA